GGGGGCGGGGGGGCGGGGAAGAATATAAGATGTTTGATCTGTGTAGAATCCATCTATATTCTATGATACAGATTGGGTCTGAGTGTAGTCTATTTTCCATACTCTAAGAGTCTGAAGTAAGCAAATAAAAGTTACATTGCGTTACATTAAGTGTTTTATTTTTTGCCTAAGTAGTGAAAATAATGAATGTCTGAATGGCATACTTTATGCAAATAGTTGCGAGGAAAATAGGAGGTTATTGTTGCAGTCTTTAAGGTGACGTGTGTTATTTGGAAACAATGTTATGAAAGCCACTGAAGGGCAAACTTTTTATTTACTGTGAACACCATGTTTTCCTTGTGGTTTGATTTCTTTTCAAAGAAATATGGCCTATGTTATGTTTTATTTGTAAGTAATACACACCTTTGCAAGAATCAGCATAAAGCCAGTTGTCCTCTTTCTCTGTTTGCTATGTGAGGATGTGTTTAGTAGCTGCCTGTCAGTTACTTTTGCCTGATGATGATCAGTGTGGTCCTTGGGTCATCACAGTGTATGACAGTGTTGTTAAGTTATAGCTAATGGGTTGCTTGGTCAGAGCCTCGAGTTATTTTTCATGTGTGCTAGTTAGTTAGATATTTACCCACCGTATCCAAAAGGCAGGAACTCAGATTACTGTGTTTTCCTGCCAGAATCTGACATGTTTCTTTCTTTTCCTCTTTGCATGCCCTACCAGGTCAAAATCTGTCAGTGTTTTCCCGTCTGTTTCTCTGATACAGGCCAGCTGAGACTGGTTGCAGAGTTGGAGAATTATTCTAACGCTGACAAGTGTTTTGTAGTTGAAAGAGAAATTTAGTAACTCTTTATCATAAGTGAACCAAGTAGTAAGCAACTTAAATATTGAAGGGGTAACAAGCTTGTTTGTTTGTTTGTTTAAATTCTCCAGGTCGTTGCTTATCACTACTGTCAAGCTGACAACACATACACGTGCCTTGTCCCGGAATTTGTGCACAGTATTGCAGCTTTACTTTGTCGTTCAAACCAGTTAACAGCATACAGAGATCTTCTCATAAAAGAGCCTCACTTACAAAGCATGCTTAGCCTGAGGTCTTGCGTCCAAGATCCCGCAGCAGCTTTTAAAAGGGGAGTGTTGGAACCACTTTCAAACCTCAGGAAAGGTAGGATGAGCAGGAAGGGACCTGGAAATCCCTTGATTGATTGAATCTAAACTGCATAGAAAGTGAATAAAAATCTAAGAAATGTAAGAGAAAAAAATAAATCAGAACATTCCTGGAGAAAGGGATTCCTTAATTGTGGTGGTTGTTTGTAAGAATAATAGGTAGGTTTTGAACAATTGTTTCAAGTTTTAAAATAAAATTCTGTGCAAAATTCTGTTTTCAGATGCTTTTAAATTTCATCACACTTTCTTGTTTTGTCATTTTCTGTGCCTAAACACCTGCAAAGTGGATGTGGTTTTTTTCTTTCCTTTGAAATTGATGTGGCAATTTTCCAAGAAAGCATGTAATGACATGATTTTTGTGTGTAAGAAAACCCTAGCAAGCTCCCTCAAAAAGCTAGCTTCACAGTATGTGCCAGCTTGAGCAGGTACATGATACATGTCAGGCTGGGGGAGGACATTTGCCTATGTGTGAGCAGAGCATGTGTCATTCCTATGAAAACTGGTTTGCAGTTCTTGAATTTTGTTGAATGTCGACAAATATCTGCGAAATCCTCTGGCAAATTTTATGTTTACCCCTGGGATTTTCATCCTTAACAAGTGCTCAAAATGAATAGTTTCTCAAGCTGTTGCAAAATAATATTTTTCTTCTCAGCACTGAAAGTGTAAACCAATGTCTTTATGATTTTTGCAAATTTTAAACCTTTTTTTTGTTCAGTAAGGCAATAAAGGGTAAGTTGTAAGTAAACCACTAATAATTAAAAGCAGCTTTGACTAATAGCTTAAACAACCTACATGCGCCTTCTTCCCATATCCATGCATCTTATCTCTTACATGCTAACAACCTTGTTTAATATTTTAATTCCTTTTACATCAGTTGAGAAAGTGATTGCTTCCACTTTTTAGCGTTTTATGACAATGTTGTTTTTTATCTTCTAATGTTATTTTTAATCTCTTGAATAGTGCTTAAATGTCATAAGAGGTATTGCTGTGCATAAAGATACATTTTTATTTCTTGTTGTTCAAAGTTTGGGTATAAAAATATGTCATTTGATAGGAGAATTTGTATTCATCCTTTTTTATTTTCGTGTTTCAGAGCGGAAAATTCCTGAGGAAGACTACATAATTTTGATAGATGGTTTAAATGACGCTGAATTTCATAAACCTGATTATGGTGACACACTTTCTTCATTTATCACAAACATCATCTGTAAGTTTCCTCCCTGGCTGAAGCTCATTGTGACTGTAAGAACTAACTTACAGGTAAGAACGCCCATTACCTTGTTTCTTACCCTCAAAGACTAAGTGATCTTTCAGATTGGTGCCGCTACATTATTATGAAAAATTGTGTAGTTTTAGTGGAAGTCAAAGTGAGGTCTCTTGGGCTTTTTTCCTTCCTTCATTTCACAGAATCTCAGAACGGCAGGGGCTGGAAGGGCCCTCTGGGGATCCCCCAGACCAACCCCCTGCCGAAGCAGGGTCACCCAGAGCAGGCTGTACAGGACCTTGTCCAGGCGGGTCTTGAATATCTCCAGAGAAGGAGACTCCACAACCTCCCTGGGCAGCCTGGGCCAGGGCTCGTCACCCTCAGAGTGAAGAAGTTCTTCCTCATGTTCAGACGGAACTTCCTCTGCTTCAGTTTGTGCCTGTTGCCCCTTGTCCTGTGGCTGGGCACCACTGGAAAGAGTCTGGCCCCATCCTCCTGACACCCACCCTGCAGATATTTAGAGGCATTTCGAAGGTCCCCTCTCAGCCTTCTCTTCTCCAGGCTGAACAAGCCCAGCTCCCTCAGCCTCTCCTCGCAGGAGAGATGCTCCAGTCCCCTCATCATCCTCATAGCCCTCCGCTGGACTCTCTCCAGTAGCTCCTCATCTTTCTTGAACTGAGGAGCCCAGAAATGGACACAGCACTGCAGATGGGGCCTCCCCAGGGCAGAGCAGAGGGGGGAGGAGAACCTCCCTCGCCCTGCTGGCCACACTCTTCCTAATGCATCCCAGGATCCCATTGGCCTTCTTGGCAACCAGGGCACACTGCTGGCTCATGGTCACCTTATCATCCACCAGCATTCCCAGGTCCCTCTCTACAGAGCTGCTCTCCAGCAGGTCAGCCCCAGCCTGTCCTGGTGCATGGGGTTATAATCTTAGTAGCAAATTCTTCAGTTCTGTCTTTGATGACCGTTCCCTTAATTTTGTTTTCTATAGCTCATCCCCTTGAATTGCCTTGCTGAGCTCGGTCAGTAAAATATTTGAGACCTTCCTATGAAAAATGATGAAGTGTCGAAATACTGTTCTACCTGTTGTCAGGGGACAACATTTGCAAAGCCGTTGCAGAGATACTGAATTTCAGTTTAATCTGTCTGGTACTCATTACAGAAGAGAAGTATAGCAAAGATACATTATTGAGTTTTCAGTGCTGCAATATTGTCATGTCTGTGTGGGTTTTTTCTTTCTTTTCTTTTCCCCTCTCCCCCTCATAGGAAGTTGTAAGTTCACTGCCCTTTATCACAATATCCCTGGACAATTTTCCAGACAACAAAGAAATTCACGATGACTTGAATGCTTATATTCAGTACAGAATTAATAACAGCCAGGAAATAATAAACAACATATCTTTAAATGGAAAAGCTGATGCAGCGATTATTGGGAAAGTGAGTAACCACCTGATCATGAGAAGCCTGGGATCTTACCTCTATTTGAAACTCACTCTGGATCTTTTCCAAAAAGGTCACTTAGTAATCAAAAGTGCAAGCTACAAGGTTGTTCCAGTGTCTCTATCAGAACTGTACTTACTTCAGTGCAATATGAAGTTCATGACAAACTCTGCTTTTGAGCGAGCCCTACCGATATTAAATGTGGCGCTGGCGTCCCTGCATCCCATGACAGATGACCAGATTTTCCAAGCTATTAATGCAGGCCAAATAAATAGTGAACAACAATGGGAAGACTTCAGCCAAAGGATGGAAGCCCTTTCGTGTTTTCTGATAAAAAGACGTGACAAAACGCGTATGTTCTGCCATCCTTCCTTCAGGGAATGGCTTGTTTGGAGAGCAGACGGGGAAAATACTGACTTCTTATGTGAGCCAAGGTAAATGAAACCTGCAGTAAATCATGTTCAAATAACTGCAATTATGTTTTATATAAGTGGTTGCATCAATTGGTGAGAGGAGAGCAATGTTAAAACAGAAGCATGCCTGATGTTTTCCAAAGTGAAAACTTGTATCTATTTAGAGGTAAACTTGACCAGAAGTATCAGATGTCACAATACGTAATTGACTTTGTAGAATTTGCAGATTTGCATTTGACTTTGCCACATTCATGGGGAAAAGAGAGTATTATGTTTTTATTAATATAGCAGAATTGTTGAGAATTATGTACAGCAACACCTTGTCTGTTTAGAGTGTAGGAGTAGGAATAGAAAGAACAGATCGTTTGGGCTCTTTTAAACTTAAAAATGTTAAGGCATTTCATTCAGTAATTATATCCTCATGGCATTGTTTCAGCTTGCTCCGTCTCACCTTCGTTGAGTTAGAGAGCATGAATTAGTTAAATTGGACACGGTAAGCTGCTGTGGTTCATGCGCACTCTGACAGTCTACCTCTTCCGTTTTTTCGTATTCTTCAGGGTTTTAGGTGGTTTATTTTTATAAAAGAATAAATAATGCTGACATTTAAAATTATCACCAACCCAAAGGCCGCTGCATCATCCCTGGGGCACGGCGCCTGCTCCAGCAGAAGGCGGCCTGCGGCCCGCTCCCGCTTAAAGCTTCTGCTTCTGAGAAGTGCTGTGCAGAAATTTCTGAAAGTGGGGCAAGAAGCCCCCCACAACTTCATTCCCCAGATGAATAGTCTCATTAGCATATGTTTAATTGTCCAGTTCCAGTGTATAGTCTGATTAACGTCCAGTATGGGGTAACCTTGTTTTCTCATGATTATGAAATTCCCACTGTTTCCTAGAATACTGACCACCGACTAACATAGATGTAGAATTACTAAATACATGTTTTATCTCAAATTTCAAAAGGATTCAGATCTTCCACTTGTGAAAGGATTGGTTTAGCTCCGAGGTACCTGCAGTTTCTGACTGGGAGGTGGAACAAGACCAAAGGGGAGCGGTATGCAAGTCGGTGTCCAAAGCTGCACTGGTTCTGACGTGGGCCTCTTGTGAGCCGGCCGTCGAGAAATATTAGGAGTGTGTGTCAGCTTTGCAGTTTGCCTCTTTTCTTTCTGTGGTATTTCATTATGGGAAGGATTTTGTTGAGATGTAATGGCGTGCTTCAGTAGTCTGACAAAGAAAGCTGAGCTATTGTGATAGGCATAGAGATGTGTTAGGATATTTACTGAAAGTGTAGTTATAAAAGCAGTTCTCTCTTAATCCTTTTTGCTAGGAATGGGCATGCTCTACTGGCTTTCATGTTTTCTCGACAAGAGGGAAAGTTAAACCGCCAACAAACTATGGAACTTGGTCATCATATACTTAAAGCTCACATTTTTAAGGTACATCTTACAGATTTAGTAGGTTTTATGATCTATTCATATGGATGCATCTTCGAGATTCTGCTCTGACTTGCTTCAATAATTTGTTAGAAGCTTATGCAAAATACTTGGTAGTGCTCACGAACAAAATTGTTACTTCTTTTTACACTGGTGAGATGTAGATATAAATAGTATTTCTAATCCTACAGAGAAATTTCCGTTATGTTGTTTCTGTTAGGGTCTCAGTAAAAGGACTGGGATCTCTTCTAGTCAGCTTCAAGCCTTGTGGATTGGCTATAGTACTGATGGACTGTCTGCAGCCCTTGCTTCCCTGAGAAACATCTATACGCCCAATGTGAAGGTAAGGAAAGAAGCATCCATGTATAATCAGTGCTTCATCTGCCACTGTTGCTGTAACTCTGTGGATGAATGTTGAAATTAATATGAAGAAAAAAAGCCACCACTACGCATCTGTAACTGAACTCCATTATAACAAGTGTCTGTGTACTTTTTTAAGCTGTTGTTAGAGTCCAATTCAGTTTTCCTTGATAGTTTTGATGGAAGGAAGGGTTTCAGCCTGCTTCTGATGTAAGCACGCTCTGTAGCGCAAGTAAGCGTGTGGATGTGTTTCAGGGGGCCAGATGGACCACCTCATCTGCTGGGCAGAGTTCAGCCACCGTCTCTTGTGGGGGGGACTGTCGAGGGAATTGTAAAAGGGGAAATACTCTGAGAGTGCAAGGGTGGAAAGTGCCAGAAATTTGTGCTATTACTTGCATCCTTGGATAATGGATAGGGAAATCCAAGCTGACAAGTTGCAATTTTAGCCAGCTGCTAAGCTTTTTGATTGGAAATTTGTGTGCACGTGCACACACACACACACACGTGCTCTTAAAATTTTTTTGAGCTTGATTTTTATGCAATCTGGTTCTCTATTAATGGAGTCAGTTACATAAATCTGCAGAGTAGTAGCAAGTCACACCTTCAAAAATTCTACTGTAACAACAGATAAAATTGTTGAGAGTGGTGTGCTTCAGGGGAGAAGTGAGTGTGTGAAGAGTACATAGTTCAGTAATACAATAGTTTGCTTGCTAACAGATGATTTTAAACTTTCATATTGCTATATATGTGATAAAGTTAATGTTTTCCAATAAAATGTGCATCAAAATTAGGGAGTAATGTGTGAGTACCTGAATCAAGATGTTAAAGTCTCTTAATAAATTTAGACAAGTCTGAGGAAAAAAGTTATTTTGTTTAAATTAAATTTCAGGTGAGTCGGCTGCTGATCTTGGCAGGAGCAAATGTGAATTACAGGACCGAAGTACTAAATAATGCTCCAGTGCTGTGTGTTCAGTCGCACCTGGGACATGAAGAAGTGGTCACTCTGTTACTAGAATTTGGAGCTGCTATTGATGGAACTTCAGAAAATGGGATGACAGCACTTAGTTATGCAGCCGCTGCAGGTCACATGAACATAGTGTCACTGCTGTGCAAAAAAGGTGCAAAGGTAAGCTGATGCACAAAGATTGCAATGTTTGCAACCAAAATAATCATGCAAAGGCCTAAGAAAACTCTTGTTGATAGCATAATTATATGATTAACACACATAGACTTGGAGACAGGGAGTCCAAATCATCTATACAGACTTCCATGAAGCATTTTCCATGTGCCACTGATCACAGCCCTCTGGGTCTGTTGTTCAGCCAGTTTTGGGTCTGCCTCACTATGCACTTCCGTAACTTCTGCTTCGTCAGCTTGTCTATGACAATGTTATGGGAGAGTGTCAGAAGCCTTACTGAAGTCCACAGCTCTCCCCCCATCCACCAAGTCAGTCACCTCATCGTAGAAAACTGTCAGGTTGGTTAAGCGTGATTTCCCCTGCGTAAACACATGCTGACTACTCGCGATCACCACCTTGTCCTTTGTGTGTTTGGAAATGGTTTGCTGGATTAGTATTATTTTCTCTGTCACCTTCCCAGCAGCTAAGGTGAGGCTGTTTGGCCTTTAATTCCCCAGATCTTCCTTCTTTCCCTTCTCGAAGGTAGGAGTGACTTTTGCTCTCTTAACAGTGCTCAGAAGCTTCTCTGTCTTCTCTCTCCATGGCCTTTCACTAGACTCTTTAACTTTGAAGATTATTTTTTTCCGATGCAGGCTGACTGTGTAGACAAGAAAGGCCAGTGTGCTTTGGTGCATAGTGCATTGAGAGGGCATTGTGATATCCTTGAATTCTTGCTCGGTGTTGCTTGGGTAACTCCTTCCCAAGAACAGAATTCACTAAGAAGCAGCCACACACTGCAACAAGCACTAACAGCAGCTTCCAGTATGGGACACTGTCAGGTGGGTTGATAGTTCAAGAATTTCCAGATCTGTTGCACTTCAGCACAATTGTACAACAGTGCTTGCAGCTATTTTTAAAAGAGGTTTTGAAAGCAGAACTATTGAAACTTCTGATATTTAAAGTAGTATGCATTCTTAGCAGCTGTTTGAAATGCTGTAGTTTATTTCCAATAATGTTATTTGCTTCAGGATTTGTTTATTTGTAATTTTCTGTCTGCTGTTTCCTCAGTGTTCTTGGAACTTTTCCTAAATCTCTGGTGGTAATGATGATGTCCTGTATCAGTGATCCACCCTAGTATGGTTCTACTTTAGGATGATTTTTTTTTCATAGTACAACAAATCATATATTGCATATACTTGCACATGTTCAACTTTTTAACCTGGTGCAGATGTCAAGTTACAGACCAGCTTACTTCAGCTTAGTGTCATTTCCAACAGAAATTTGGGGTTGCGCATGTATATGAGAAGAGAAGCGTTTGCCAGCACTACAGTATTACTCAGCAAAAGGAACACTAAAAGTAAACACATCAGAAATATTCAAAATGCTTTAGATATTTAGATAATGCAAGTATGTTTTCTGTTCTTTGGGAAAACAAATCTTAACCTTGATATAAAAGTAATCAGTAGGCGAAGATAGTTGAATAAAGATCACATTAGGCCAATGAAATTTCCTGTGTATGTATTAAAAGTGACGTGTCAAAAGTGGAAACTTAAAATCTCTTCAATAAAACCATTTAAATATTTACTTCTTTTAAAGGTATCTTTTTTGATTGCTGTAAGATCAAGTATCTGATCTTTAAAGTTGTTTACATGATTCAAACATAGGGATGTCTATGTGCAATTAATTTATTATACAATATATAAGCCATGACTGTCTCTCAGTATAGATTTGAGGATTCTGAACTATGATTAATTTGAATTAGTGGACAATTTGTTCACTGTCATAAAGTTCTTGTTTGCTATCCAATGATTAAATGAAAGCAGTCAACTCCTGAATATCAGCAAAATAGATCATGTTAATCATAAATACTTACTCTTGCCTGAAAATGTCCATCTTTCTCTATTTTTAGGACAATAAAAAGCTTAATTCTTCTTAGCTAGAAAAAAGGCCTCTGTGTTTCATGAATTTCACATAAACTGTATCTTCTAGCATTTCGAATTTTAGGATTTTCCAGACATTGTATACAACATTTCTCATATGGCCTGAAAATACCTATGTACTTTCTCCTTTCCTACCTTTGCTTTTTTCCATAGCATCCAAAACTTGTGTTACTCTGATTCTACTCCCTTACCTGCTTGCTGCAGGTCACCGTGTCCCCCATTAGAAAATTTGTTTAAAATAGCTGGTAAAAGAGGTTTTAATTTAATAATCTTTTACTAGCAGGTGGTTAGAAAACAAAGATTTTCTTAATAAGATAAAACCACAGAGAAATTTGATTTATAACTTGTCTCACGTTTAAAAATCAGCATTCAACAGCACATGCTTCGATTGTTCTGTGAAGAAATTTTGAAAAACAGCCAAGATATAAAAAATGTAAAAGGAAAAACATAGGAATCCCTATTCTACAATATGTATGCAATTATTCTGTTCTTTTCCATTCACTTTGTTTTTATTTTTGGCGTTGCTTATCTTGATTATTCTGGTATATGTAAGTCACCCAGAAGCTCATTAAATCAGAATCATGTAAAACACCCTGAACCAATTAACAGAAGGGCACTGGGGGTTTTTTTTACACTGCTTTCAAGAGCATTCAGTTGTCTTCAAGTCATACTAAGAATCATACTGAACTGGCTTTGATGGAGTATGAACAATATTCATTTTCTTCGATTCATATTCATTGAGAAGCTCTCTCGCTTGTTTTAAATCTCTCACCTGTTGCCGTGTCTTGCAAGTGCCAGCTGCTGGCTTCTGTGACTCACTGCATCTGTGCTGACTGGTTCTGGCAGGTGGCTGGGCACATCTTGGCAATCGGAAGGGAACACAAGATAGACATCAATGACACCGATGCCTTGTGGGGAGAAACAGGTATTTCCTTTCTCATATTAGAAAGATTAGAAACTCCCAATTAGAGTTGCTCATTTAAGAAGTAAGAGTTTTTAATTATGATCTTTTTTAAATTTAGTTTTCTGTGATAGAAGTCATGGGAAAGTACCAGTTTTAATAATAAAATGCAGTTTATCAGCAGACGTATAGAGTTTTTAACTTACTAAATCTAGTCATGTCATATATTGAAAATAGTTATGTTAAAATTATTGTAAATTACTGGCTTTCTGATTAAATTGAAAATTGTGGAAATACAGTGCTTTAAGCTTCAGTGTAGAATTTCATAAATTGCCTTGTTTGAAAACTTTTTTTTTTAAATAGCTGTAATTGCACAGATGTTCTTTATTCCTGTGCATATACAAAACTCTTGTGGAAAATCCAGTGAATTCTAATGAACATACATCTGTTTCTGAATTAATTTTCCGTTAATGATTTCTTGTCAATGTTTTGTATTTAAATTCTTGCTCTAATGTATTGGGAATCTTTACTCATTAAGTAAGTGCTTCCTAGTTCTTTACTCATTGGGAATCTTTACTCATTAAGTAGTGCTAACTAGTGGTGGGGGTGAAGGTCCGAGTCCAGAGAGCTGTGAGCAGTTCCGTGTGGCACTTCTGTGCTCTCTGAGATACAGTGCTAAGCTTGGGACAAAAAACCCACGCAGAGCGGGTCAAGATAGCCACAGCATCAGCGTTACATGAAGTATTATTCTTCAGTTATTGAACGTAAAAATTTTATGTGGAAAGGATGCCAATTTATATGCTGCTGGAATCTTCACGGTTTCGCGTGTGTGGGTGAACTTACATTGATGTTGTACTGCGTGGTTCTTTGCTGTATGTTTTGTAAGTGGGATCGCGATACGGAACGGGGTAGTGATGAAACTTGGAAGTATGAGGCAGATGGAGTGAGGAGCAGCGTGTTTTGCGAGTGCCTGTTTTAGAAATGGAAAATCCATCACACCTTGAAAAAGCACAGAACAACCTTAAAGATAGTTCCTTTTCCTGTAGTAACATGTTCAGGAACAGCTTGTTTTTATTGATATTTTTGTACTGTTACCTGCTTGAATACTAAGCTGGTTCCGCTCATTGTAGAGGCTGTTTCGACAGGATTTTATGTTCTGGGTCTTTTAGAGGGAAAGACAGCTAGAGGTCATCATTGCCATTCCCTGTTTCTTGTCACATTTGTGTAGCTGAAGGCCACGTGTGTATGAAGTGTAGGTTCAAGGAAAGTAAACTCTCCGCCGGGAGTCCTGCATCCAGCTCTGGAGCCCTCAGCACAGGACAGACCTGGAGCTGTGGGAGTGGGGCCAGAGGAGGCCCCAGCAATGATCCGAGGGCTGGAACTCCTCTGATGGGAGGAAAGGCTGGGAGAGCTGGGGCTGCTCAGACTGGGGAAGAGAAGGCTGTGGGGACACCTTCGAGCAGCTGC